TGGGTGCCAAAGATCAATCTATAGAGGTCTCTCTCTCTCTCTCTCTCTAGTAGAGGTAGCAAAGGGAATGAATGCCCTTTTAACTCTCTTCCCATTGAAACCCTCATCTGTCCCTCTCCTCCCGTTCTCTTTCTAGCACTTTTACCCCTATCCATGGTGATGGTTTTTTTTGTTCTTGCAACTTCAAAGGTTGTTGTCCTGAAACTTTGAGTGGTGAAATTTTGGGGTAAATATTTGTATTAGGCTGCATTAGATAGATGAATCATAGAGATGCTTTGTCAAGGAAAAGGAATCATCAGAGGTCTAGTAGGGGCTTGGTTTCTTCTATTTTTCCCTTTTTAATGGAAGAAAAGGAAGTGCAAACACAAAATTGCAGGGGCTTGAATTTCCATTTCATTGATGGTGCAGAACAAGGGAGAGAAAACTCCCAACCTACAAATACTTAAAAGGAAGGGACAAAATGATGCTAAGAAAAAGCCAGCATCTGTGAAAAGAGAGTGCAACACCTAAGTTCTTTTAATAGTTGAAGATGGTGAGGAAGAGAGAGAAAGGCTGAGATTCAAGAAGGGGTAGCTCCTCTCTTTAGCGGATGTGTGTCTGGGTTTCGTAGAAAGACATATGGGTTTTTCAACATAGCTTTTGAGACCAACACATGGTCATGATTTTTAATATTTCTTTGTAGACATTTTGCAAGCAGGGGAATATGTCTGGTTTTGAAGAGCTAGATTGCAAGCAGAAGAGAGAGCGCTCTGAGTTAGAGAGAGACGAGAAAAAAGAGGTGTTGATGGGTTATTTTTGTTACGATTAAGAAAGGGAGAATGAGAAAAGAGCAAAGGGGAATTTTTCAAAAGAAGGGTTTGGAATGTTTTATACACAGTAACACACTGTATTGAAAGTTCATAGGATCATTCCCCTATAGTTTATGCTATTATATAAATCCAGTACTCAAATCATAAATTCACAATGAAAATACAACACTTAAATTTTTTACCCGTTTCTTAAGCACACAACACCTAAAATTTTTACAAATTGACTTGCATACACCTTTATTAAATACACATTCTCATAAAAGTAAAGCAGGGTTACCTAAATACCGTCTCTTAAGCACACAACATTTAAATTTTTTTACAAATTGACTTGCATACACCCTTTATTAAATACACTTTCTCATAAAAGTATTTCCATGTCTCACTGATACAGTCACTCTACTCACTGATTTACAGAAACAAAGGAGGACTAAATACACCTGAAACATCCCAAACACGATTTCCATTCATCTGGACACAATGAGATTGCAAACATACAACATAACTTGTACAAACGTAAGTAGAATGATTCCTCATATTTAGATACAATGAGATTTCTCGCATTTGGACAAAATGAAGTCTCACATTTGGACACAATTCTAAGCCAGATGGACCTCGTTCCCATATACTTTATGGGACAAATTTAGATCATGCTTCCTTCAAATTGGGATCATGATCCCTTTAACTCACTTGTGTATAGATCTCGATCCCCATCCCATGGATCTTCAGGCATATCTCGATCCCGCACTCCTGATCCTGATCTAGGATTTGATCTTGCTTCCGATCCTGTAACTATGGGCCAACCCATTCTTACCTACTCTGGGTTTGCAACCATAGTTACTGCAATCTCTCTGCTGAGGTCGCAATTCTGGTTTGCAACCACGATTCCGTGATTCTGACAAGGAATCTTTATGGAACTAATTTCCTGGATCTTAGGAATCTCGAGTCATTAATTTAGGAATGTTGTTTCAAACTTTTTTGGAGTTTTGATCCCATTATTTATGGAAACTTGGTCCCAACTTATACGAATCTCTATTCCAACAGTTATTGAATCTTGATTCAACATCTGTTGATTCCTTATTTCACATGTAATGAATCTCAATTCGTTTTGGATTTATATCCAGAATGCACAGCATCAAGTATTTTGGTTCTTAGGTGCAGGGAATTGTGATTTAATCAACACTAATCTTGCTTTGACCTCTATAGAATCTCGATCCGAATTATTTTGGAATCTTGATTCCACAAAATCAAGTAATGTGTTGCATAAGTGCACAAATCTGCGATTCATTGTACGAGTAATCTCACCTCAAATATTTATGGATTCAGATTTCAGTTTATTGGAAACCTAATTGGAGGACGTTGTTTCCCATAGTTTATAGGTGTTCCAAATAGTAATCCAATGAATGCAGTGCAGCAGTATTTGTAATTCGAATGAACTTGCAAATGCAAATGTTAGACTTAAGAGGTATTCAACATGTATGATTTTAATATCTTTTGCAAGTATCAAAGGTAAGTATAACTAGTGTTCGAAAATTCCGCCGCCCGACCGCCTAAGCGAAAAATTTCAAAAAAACCACCTAGGCGCTATCTAGCGGTGAAATTATGCGGCTTGTCTCCTGGTGCCCGCCTAAGTGGGCAAGGCGCTGCCTAGGCTCTACAGTCTGGCGCCCACCTAGGTGTCGCCCAGTGACAGTTTGCGGAAGGACGAAAAAAACGTTCGACCAGAGTAAAAAACAATGTCATTTCCCCCCCCCCTAAAATTGGGGGAAAAAAATGTCATTTTGCCCGCCCTAAAATTGGGGGAAAAGGGTTTTGGGGGGTCCTCTGAGCCCCCAAAACAAAAACCGTGGCTTTTAGGGTGAGAAAAACTCCGCAAAAAATACTATTTTGTGATTTATCAAAAGATTGATAAAGTTTTGATTTTTGCAATGTCTTCCCAAGACAAAGGCAATAGTTCATGGGTGGATTTAGAGCTTCTAGTAGTTGATTTGAGGACTTTTGACGACCCAATAGACAAAGTTTGCACTGACATCGATTTGATTTGATATTTTTATATTATTATCATATTTTAAAGAGGGTTTTGATTTTATTTTGCTACAATATATTATGTTACGAAATTTAAAAATAATGTACAAGACATGTGTGCCAAGTTGATTCAATTCAAATTTGTATGGCATTAACGGAGTACTGTTTTGGTAAAACAATACTTCATTGGCAATATGTTATAAATAGTTTGGTAATACTTCATTGGCAAGTAGAACAAAGAATCAAAACTAACTATCCCTGTGTCTGCTTGATGCTTGATTGTAAGGGGTTTACAAATCTTGATTGCCTCAGGGGTCGAAACTCGAATCCAAACTTCATGGATCTCGATTCCAATCTGGGTTGAATCTATATTCCAAACTGGTATGAATCTCTATTTGAAATGCCTAGGAATCTCGATTCTAAAGATGTATGAATCTCAATTCCATAAATGAAGAAATCTTGATTCCATATTGGTCGATTCCAAATACATCGGAAACTCGATTTATAGAGCTAGGATTATCAATTCCATCGATGTAGGGATCTTGATTCTATTTTGGTCGAATCTTGCTTCCTATAAAGTAGGAGTCTCGTTTTCCACGATTCCTCTTGTTCGAACATCAATTCCAAAAACAAGAATCTTCTAGCTGGCTGCGGTTTTGTCATTCCACTAAAAAACGATTCGGATTCGGAATCGTTTCCAACAACTATGATTGTGATTCATCAGTAAGAAAAGCAAAAGCCATGTTCATTAGCATCCAAAACTGCAACAGAAGATCGGGGAACAACTCATTTATGGATGTTGAACCTCGTCGAATACAATTGCTTGAGTGTTTGACCAAATCAATATCCTATGGATGTTGAACCTCATCGAATACAATTGCTTGGGACAAGTCTTTGACCAAATCATTATCCTATGCAACGATTCCTCTTGTTTGAACATCAATTCCAAAAACAAGAATCTTCTAGCTGGTTGCGGTTTTGTCATTCCACCCTAAAACGATTTGGATTCGGAATCGTTTCCAACAACTATATTTGCGACTCATCAGTAAGAAAAGCAAAAGCCATGTTCATTAGCATCTAAAACTGCAACGGAAGATCGGGGAACGACTTATTTATGGATGTTGAACCTCATCGAACAATTGCTTGGGACAAGTGTTTGACCAAATCAATATCCTATGCTCCCAGCTCTATGTAATCTTCAAAGCAAGAGCAACCAAGTAGCGGATACTTTGGCAAAGGAGGGGGCTGGCTAGATCTCCCTTACCATCATTTAATGTGGTACCCACACCTTGAGATTCCCAAATAGTCCAAATTTTTTATATCCTGGGCATAGTTTTGCTTTCAAGTGTGTAGAATTTTACTTTCACAAATTTGGAAACCCTTTTTGGTGGAACCAAGAAAATTTTGTACACCCGATTTTATATCAATAACATTTGTTATTTGTCAACGAAATTGTATTTAGTTGTATATGTCTGATGGCATTGTTTATTTTTCTTAAAGGGGGAATTAATCTTTTCCATATAGATAATTGTAGATAAGGTGATCACTCGACATTTTTCATTAATGAGAACTACTTATTTCCATTTTTACTTTCCAGATCTCAAGGAATTGTGTTTCTATATAATTCTAAAATTTCTAAATGCATGTGTTTTATTGACTGAGTTGTAAGCACCGGACTCTAATTTCTATCTTGAGATTTATATCAGAGGCATGAGGCTATAGAGAGATGATATGGAAAAACTTTCCCCTATAAGGGGTATTTACAGTTTGAGAAGGCTTTTTTATGTAGTGCTTATTTCTTTTATTATAAGAAAAGTTGTATGGATCAAATAACTCATAAATTTCACTGTAATCATTCTTAACTTTGAAAAATAACACCAGCATCTACTGCTAAAGCTTCAGAAACATGCCTAAAGCATTAGATAAAAATTACGTAAATGCCTCTGGAGTGAAGAAGATCATCTCATTAATATTTCCTGCTGTCTTGATCTGGTTATAGTGTCTAAATTCTAGAGTCTGTTACTAGTAGCTCTTATATGTGTGAACGGTGGATTTTTAGTTTAGCGAAGTATGTTTCTCTAGTCATTCTTGGATGAACTTCAGACATTTTCAAATGTCTTGTTTGTGGGGACATCAAGCTGATCCTTTGGTATAATTATTTTGCTTTAGGTATTCGTGTCCAAAGCCTAAAGAAAGGTCAAATAACAATGGATTTGGATTTGAGATGGGGTGGTGATCCAAGCATCATTCTTGCTGTCGAAGCCCTTGTTGCTTCGCTGCCCATTCAGGTGCATACCTTATTCAGTTAACCAAGAAATGAACTAACTCATGATGTGTTTATTGATATCTTGTTTAGCTCCTTGTTGGATTTTTGTTTTCCTTGATGGGTTTAAGCTGCAAGGTTTTCCCATAATATGTTTTTCGTAACGCATATGAAAGCCTATGTGCTTTCGTATAATATATGAATCATGCTTATTTTATAAGTTATGGAATGCAACTAGATTGAGTCTTAGTCTTGCGGTTCCGGTTTCAGCTGAAGGATCTCCAAGTTTTCACTATTGTACGAGTGATTTTTCAACTTGCTGAAGAGATTCCATGCATTTCTGCTGTTGTTGCAGCTCTCCTAGCTGAGGTAACATGATTATTTTCTTCATTTTTTCTACAGGTATTATGGTGATAGGATTTTATTTGGACTTGGGTGAGGATACAAAATAGCTAAGGTAGCTCGTATTTCCTATGGCAGGGTGCTGAGTGTAGTCACCTTTGTTTTCTGATATTGCCACCCATGGCAGTATGTGTCTATCATTGTCACTGTGTTTTTTGGTGGAATATAAACGAATGTGTGACCAATCATTAGGTTGTCATACAGACCATATATAAAAAGTACACAGAGTATTTTGCTAAGTCCTTAAGAAGAGTGCATGTTTGTGTATACTCAGGCGACGAACATTGTATTAGAGCTAAACGATAAGACGTGGGTCTGAACCTTTCTGGCGAAACTGTGGAAATCTCAATTGGTTGCACAATATAATTATGGGTTACCAAAAAAGAATCTGTGTATAGTCTTTCTCAATCAATTAGCTGCATAAATTCTAATGTTGGTTTGTAAAGCATCTGATGGGAATGCATCTGGGGCTAGCTTCACTTGTTACCTGAATTTCAATGCTCTCAAATATTCTTGACAAAATGTGGCATGTATATGTACTGTAGAATTGATTTTTTCTCTAAACAAATAATGTTAAGTTATTTATGATTTGATTAGGAACCATGCTGCACAGACTTAGTCTATGTTTACGTGAGCTCTAATTTTTTTTACTTCTCTTGCTTCAGATATTGCCTGAGGCCTTGTTGAAGATGTGATGGTGGAAGTATTGATTTGCTTGTCAATCTGTTATCATTATAATTTGCGTTATGGCTAATCTTTGCTTAATTGCATTTGAATATGCCATTTTTTAATGGTTATTTTATTCTAAACTTTGTTTGTTGCTCAGCATGATCCACTTGTTATTGCCTTACATAAATAGTTTATATAAATAAATCTTTAAGTTTCTTGAAGATAATAACCATCTGGTCTGTGACAAACTGGTTCTAGCTTGTTTAATATTCCTCCTACAGCATGTTTTGTTTTGATACATCCTGTGCTTTGTGATCCCATGTTATTTTTGTTTCCAGTTTGGGCTTGTACATCTAGATATAACAGAAAAAATGGGTTTATTTTATCCGATTAAATAAACTGTATATTGATAAAAGAAGTATGGAAGTATTTCTTGCTTGTAACACTACTGATCTTATTCTTTTTTGAGGTTGGTCCAAGTAATTGCATTTGAGGAAGTAATATATCAGTAGCTGGTAACATTGATGTCTGTGTGACACAGCCAAAGCCTAGAATTGATTACACATTGAAGGCTGTTGGTGGAAGCATATCAGCGATTCCAGGACTTTCAGATATGATCGAGGTGTGTTGGACCACTGAAGGATCAGAAGTTTATAGATTCTCATATTGTTTAATATTCTAATGATTTTTCTATGTACGTAGCAGTTCTTTGACATTAAAAGTTTTAAATATTCTACACTATTTCATCTTTTGTAGGACACTGTGAATTCAATTGTTACAGATATGCTTCAGTGGCCTCATAGGATTGTTGTTCCTATTGGAGGTGTAGCGGTTGATACGAGGTAGATACGAACTGGGGACTACATTTCTATTGTTGCCATTTTTTCTTACTTTCTTTTTCTTCTTCTTCTTCTTCTTTTTTGTTTTTGCTTGCAATTTTTCTATCGTATGATAATAGAAGATAGCAAGAGCATGGTTATAGTTTGTTGCTCTGCTTGTTCTTTTGCCATGCATATATAACTAACTGAAATCAATGGCTTCTGGTCAATTTTTTCATACATGTTTCTATTGGACTATTAACAACAAAAACCAGTTTCAGTTAACCATTTCCTCAAAAAAACAAAAACCAAGAAAAAACTTTCTATTGGAATCTTTGTTTCTAAATACATTTATATTGTGCAGTGAATTAGAGCTAAAACCACAAGGACGTCTTTCTGTGACAATAGTGAAAGCAAATGCTCTGAAGAATATGGAAATGATCGGCAAGTCAGATCCCTATGTTGTTGTGTACATTCGACCCATGTTCAAAGTTAAAACAAAAGTTGTTGATGATAATCTTAGTCCTGTGTGGAATGAGACATTTCAGATGATTGTGGAAGATAAAGAAACTCAACCCCTCATTTTGGAGGTCTGTTTTTCTTACTCTTGGCCCTGTTTTACTAGTTGCTTCTGTAGGATGGTTGCTCTACAATTGGTCGTTTTGCTTATATGAAGCGAACACATAGATGTAGCAGTTCTAGTTAATAATATTACAAAATTTAATGGTCTGGGTGGCAGATGTTATGTGAAGGTATTGAATTAATATATGTGTATTTCTTTGGAAGGTTAAAGAACTATGTATTAAATTGACCAATTTGTACAAAATTATGTTACATGAAAGAGAAAAAATGTGACTTGAGGCTGAAATATCGATCACAAATGGTTTCTATACAAAAATAGGAACTCTGAGAGAGAGAGAGAGAGAGAGAGAGAGAGAGAGAGAGAGAGAAACTCATAAGGTGGAGAATTCCAATCTCGGATTACAGAGAGGGAAGTCATTTATGCACCATTCTTGGTTAGAGAGTGGGAAACTGCTTGTACCTCTCTTTGGGTATAGATGAAGGACACCGAAGAGTGGAACAGAGATGTGAGATCTTGTTAAAGAGATGCTCCAATCGCCAAGGGCAAGTGGACCCTCTGTTGGCTCAGCCAATGATACTAAGGGAATCTCCTTTATTGAGCAGTTGCCTAACCCATCTAACATTGTTGAGTCTCTGCTGTAATTGAGTCCTCAATAGCATCTGGTCCTGAGAAAGTAAGAAAGGGATTAGCAGGCTGATCTGTGAAGATCAGGCTTGCCTATTGAGCACCCATCAAAGTTTAGTTTGATTACATTATTAGTTGATGGAATGCAGATTGAGGATTTTCCTTTATCTATGGATTTAAAGCATGTAATTGTGCTCCATTGGCCTGCAAATTCCTAAGATGAATTCCTTGCAAGATACGACCCTGGGAGAGATCATACTTCTTGATTGCATCAAGAAGCATGGTTAAAGTGAGCTCAGAAATCAGAACCATGGAAAATTCTACTGTTATATTTCAACCAAATAACCAGACTATAGCAACTAGTGAGTCACCAAGAAATGAAACCTGTTGAGGGAGAAGGTTGGGAAAGAAAGGGTTTGAATTGGGTGCAGTAGAAACTGGCATGACCGAAGACAGGATGAAAAGCTTAAGGGAGAAGTGCCATATTTGTTACGGCGAACATTACAATGAATGATGATGTGGTTCACTAGTTCCTATTCTTTGCAGATGGTCCGGCTATTTGAGAGTGGATTCCTCTACTATAAATGTGGCATAGGGTTAAAGCTTTGTCTAGGACCACAAGCCAACTGAAAGCCTACACCTTGGGTGAGAGCCATGATGGACTGCATCTTTCTAGCAGTAGTTGGTGCTCTGTTTGAGGACAGGGCTTTGTAGAACTCCATGGCCAACTGGGTAATGTGGAGGTTGTGGTAAATGAGTCTGGTTGTGCTTTTGCATAGAAAGGAGGAAGGTGCTCCCAAATCCTGTCCAAGAGGAGGGTATTGCTCTCTCTCCTTGTCTAAGCTTATGGAAGAGTGTAATGGAGTGGAGCTATGTTTAATTTGGTGGCTAAAGAATAGTTGAACCCAAAAGCATGCCTTGTGAATTGAAACCTCTTCTAGAGGAGTTCAAGGACATCTCTCCATATGATCTTCCGTAATGACTTCTTCCTCTTAAGGAATATTCATCATTACATATACTTAATATTGGCAAGTCATGGACCTACTCACAAATGGTTCATTTAAAAGAGAGTGAGTCCTTGACCTTCTTGACCCCAAAGAAGGATGGTTTGTGGCAAATGTGCATTGATAACCACACCATCAACCACATCACGATCAAATACTATTTCCCCATCCCAAGGCATGATGATACACTAGATATATTGGGAGGTGAGTATTTTTCATTCAAAATTGACATAAGTGGATACCACGAAATCCGAATCAAGCCAGGTGATGAGTGGAAAATGGTGTTCAAAATTTGTGAAGGCTTGTTCGAGTGGCTAATCATGTGATTCGGCTTCACCAATGCGCTTAGTGCCTTCATGCAGGTAATGAACCAAGTGTTTTGACCCTTCATTTGGTAAATTTGTTGTTTATTTGATGACATCCTTGTTTATAGCTGAAACCAAAAAGAGTCTGTCGATCATTTAAGAGAAGTTCTAACCACACTTCGAGCTGAAAAGCTTTACATTAACCTCAAAAAGTGTGCTTTTATGGCGGATTGCCTAGTCTTTGTAGGCTTTGTTTTGGCCTCTTCTGGTGTTTGGGTAGATGAAAACAAAGTTAAGATGATCCAAGATTCGCTGACGCCCCAAAACATCCATGAGGTGAGGAGTTTCCATGGGCTGGCCACATTTTATCGGCATCTCATAAAAACCTTCAGCACCATGGCAGCACCCTTAACTGAGTTCCTGAAAAGAGTGGAGTTCTGATGGTTGCCAACTACCGAAAAGAACTTTCATCTTGTGAAAGAAAAGCTCTTGACGGCACCTGTGCTCACACTGCCCGATTTCGAAAAAGTTTTTGAGCTTGACTGCGATGCTTCACATATTGGCATCGGTAGAGTGCTCACTTAAGGTCACCCTATCACCTTTTTCAGTGAAAAGCTCAATGAATCGAGGCAAAACAACTCTGCCTATGACCTTGAGCTTTATACCACTGTGCAGGCCTTTTGGAGTTGGTGGTATAATCTCATCCAAAGGGAGTTCATTTTCAACTTCGACCATGAGGCACCAATTGTATAAACAGCCAAGGAAGCCTCAGCCAAAGACATGCCAAATGGATGGCTTTCGTACAAGAGTATAGTCTTGTATTAAGACACAAAAGCGGGCGACTCAATCCAGTGGCAGATGCACTTAGCTGGTGAGTTATACTTCTAAACACCATGAGTGCGCATATCCTAGGAATTAAGGAGATGAAGGATTGTATTATAACGATCCAGATTTTGGAGAGGCCTGGAGATCATCCAAGGAATTTAGGCCAGGAAGTTTCTTAGTTCATGATGGATTCCTCTTTAAAGAGGCTTGTTTGTGCATTCCAAAATGCTCTCTTCGAGAGGGCCTCACTAAAGAACTGCCTAAACGAGGTTTGGGAGGGCAATTCAGCCGTGATAAAACTATTGCATTGGTGGAAGACAAGTACCATTAGCCAAAGATTCACTGAGATATGACCACTTTGTGAGGTGGTGCCCAAAATGTCACATTTACGAATGACATGCCCAAAACACAGGTATGTACCCTCCCATTACTGGTTCTTAAATCTCCATGGGAAGGCATAAGTATGGATATTGTTCTTGGCTCGCCAAGGACCCAAAGAGGCATGAATGCCATCTTTGTGGTCATGGATTGATTTTCTAAACTGGCACATGTCATTCTAGTTAAAAGACTATGGATGCATCTTACGTTGCTAACTTATACTTTTGAGACATGGTTAAGCACCATGGCATCCCTAAGACTATTACTTCAAATAGAGATGCTAAATTTCTTAGCCACTTTTGGAGGGCTTTGTGGAAATGTCTTGGGATTGATTTATACTAGTGCTTATCATCCTCAAATGGCTGGTCAAAGGGAAGTGGTGAACCAGACACTAGGAAGCCTTCTCCGAAGCTTGTCAGGAAAGAGGCCTAGATAGTGGAATGTCATCTTGCTACAAGCCGATTTTGCTTACAACTTAATGGTGACCCGTTCCACCGGCAAGGTTCCCTTTGAGGTGGTATATGGGCAAGTCCCTACACACTATCTTGACCTTATCCTTTTGCCAAATAGAATCAAGCCAAATAATGCCTAATACCTTGCCAAGTCTATAATGAGGATCCGTGAAGAAGTTCGTAGAAAGCTCGAGGCTAGCAATGTGAAGACAAGAAAATTGTGAAAATACATCGTCGAAAGCTGGTTTTTAAAGAAGGAAACTTTGTGTCGGCCTACCTAAAGAGAGGTTTCTGGTGGGCACTCACAACAAGCTCAATGAAACAAAAGTTACGCCCTGCCTCATTTTGGAGAGAAAATTAATGTTAACTTTTACAAAGATCGAGTTGTTGCCGAACATCCACACTCACCCTATTTTTAGCATACAAAATTTGACTGAATATTGTGGGGTTTCCAATACAAACTCGAGGGCGAGTTCTTTCTAAGCCGTGGAGACTGATGTAGGGACAGTGTGGGGCCCACAATCTTAGGTGTCAACAATTGGTGTGCCTACACCGAAGAGAGTCCTAAAGAGATTTAATGCATAGATGAGTGTGAAATGTGGGACATGTTGTAAGAACTAAAAAGGTTGAAAGTTGTGTTGGGAGTTCATAGAAGTTATATGGTGTCTAGGGAGTGATAGGGATCCTTTGGAAATCTCCAGGTTTGTTATGGGAATGATCTTGGTTTTAATGTCTTTTCTAGAAAGAGCACAATTATTGGTTTTAATGTCTTTTCTGGAAAGAGCACAATTATTAAAAGAGGGTGGCATCCAAGCTTTGAGGGTATGTAAGTGGCACGACAATATCATAAATGTTGGGATCATGAGCGGGTGGATTGTGAAAAGGCTAGATGATCCCTCTGGTTGGGAGCATTGTCGGGTGTGGATGGATATTTATGCTAGGAAAGACTGCAATTCCTTACAATGCATATGCATATGTTATGGGTTGAGATCTCTAAATCTTAAGGATCGCAATCCCAGTCTTTTTGGGATCTCAATCACGACCTTTTGGGATCTTCCTACCTCTTGGGGATCTTGCTCCTAACCTTGGAGAGTATCTATAATATAGGAGTATACATACTCTGTAAACTAGGGATCTCTTTTATAGCCGACAAGTAATGCAACAATATTAAAAATATAATTGCATTGCTAGGTGATTTGAAAATCATCATTTTTGTTGTTATCTTAGTCTTTAAGTTGGGGATTGAGATTCTTAATTGTGGGGATTGAGATCAGTAACAGGTGGGATCAAGATCCTAGAATTTAAAAATCAAGATCCTTTGAAGATCACTTTCACGAAACCTGAAAGCATATTCTGGACTGGGATCACCTTCGGGGTTAGGAGATCCCAACAACTATATACAATATACCTAAAAGAGATTATTTTCAATATCTTGGGTCAATAATCCATGAGAATGGAGAGGTTGAGGAATATGTCGCCGATGGGTGGACGAAGTGGAGATGTGCTTCTGGAGCCTTTTGTGATTGTTGCATACCAATAAAACTAAAGGGGAGGTTTAAGACCACCCATGCTTTATGGGGTGGAATGTTGTGCGGTAAAAAAACAACATATATATAGAATGAGTGTAATTGAGATGAGGATGTTGAGATGGATGAGGGGCAAGATAAGAAAGGATAGAATTTGGAATGAATACATCTGAGAGAACTTATAGGTAACTCCAATAGGCAACAAGATGAGGGAAAGTAGACTTAGGTGGTCTGGCCATGTGCAGCATCGACCTAGAACAATGGTTCGAGTGGAAGGCTTTAAAAGGGAAAGGAGAAGGCCCAAAGAACATAGATGGAAGAAGAGATACGGTGACTTATTGTCTAACTAAGTGTGTGGCTCTTGATAGAGCAAAATAGCGTAATAGGATTCGTAACTGACCCAAATAGTTGGGATAAGCCTTGAAAGCTGATGATGATGATAGTACTCCAATACTTCTTTATGCTATATGATATATACTACTAATATCCTATATTACTATTCTAATAATATTGTATGTTCACTATAGCAATATATGTAATATTATATTCCTATAGTACTAAGTTTACTAAAGTGCTTTGTAGTAATACTATATTTATTATGTAGTACTATGGATATATAAAGAATTGTATAATATACAATATGTATATGTAGGAAGAAGAAGAAGAAGGGGCCAAGGCACCAGCCTTTGTCAAGTCACTAGGGGCCCGCCTAAGCGGGCACCTAGAGGCACCTCCACCCAAGTTGCCCCCTACCTCTAGTCAATGCACCTATGGCCTTGGCCCACCTAAGCACCGAGGTGATTGCCTTTTTGAACACCGGGGGGCATTGTGGATGACCATGAAAGCTAGGTGTTGGAGGATAAGAGTGAGGTAAGAAGAGTTAGGTGAGAAGTGGATAGATGGGTAACATTAGATGTCGGAATGATGGGTGAGGCAAGATGTGACAAGGGGCCGTTGGTGGGACACATGGAGGAGATGTTGGTATTGGGATGGTGCTAGAATCTTCTCCACCAGGGCCTCAGACTTGGATTTCAAGTATCAATGGATTTGTTTTTCCCTCAGTGCTTATGTGATGCCCAGGTACGCATGCTCATGGCCTGATGGCCTCGGATGCAACCTGGTACCAAATATTAGGTGATCCTTGGTTTACTTCAACCATGGGATGGAATTCAGTTAGGCCTTGGTCTCCGAACCTGGTATTGAAAAAAGAAAAAAAAAGTTCAGTGTGCACCGTTTTTATGCATGTAGCTGGTTCCCTATAGACGTCTCCATACCATTTTAATATTGTTTTACTCGGTATTCTATTGACTGGGCTAATTATAAACTGTAAGCCAATGAATATTCCGAACTTTTGGAAATATTTGGAGAAAACAATTGAGTGAAATCGTAAGAAACCATCTTATCCAAGCACCATGTGTAACTTACTCTTCTTGTTGTGGTTGCTACCAACAATATAACAAAAGGCAAAAGCATGAATCTAATACTCGAGATGTAAGCATTCCTAGGATGTATAGCGCAAAGTTCAATTTGAATCCTCAAAACTTGCCGCTTCCTAGTGGGTTCAACTATTGAAAATGAACAAATTGTACTGTGGTAGTTTTATTGTTGCCATTTACTTGTTGTACAATAGTAGTTGTTGTTTTGTTAATATGGATTGCATTATTAATGGTTCTTTGATTGTGGTTTGAAATGTGTAGTTAATTCATATTTTTCTCTCCTTCCAGGTTTTTGATAAAGACATTACACAAGACAAAAGATTGGGCATTGTGAAATTAGCTCTAATTGACTTGGTGCCCAAAACTGAGAAAGAGCTTGAACTAAGACTTTTACCATCACTTGATATGTTGAAGATTAAAGATAAGAAGGATAGAGGAACACTTAACATAAAGGTTAGAACTTAGTATTTTGTGTTTCCTTTCTTTTTTCTTATTTATTAATTCTAGATGTTATCCTTGATGTTTAAGATTGATTTTTCCTCAGAACCTAATACTAATGGGCATGTAAAAACTTATTTGAGCCTAACAATTTAAAAGGCATGTAAATATAGAGAAAAGAGGATTTGGTTAAGGAATAGCAGATTAAGTATAAGGTCCACATTACAAAATTTTGTTTAGAAAAAGTAAAGCTTTATTCTTAAGTGGTATTACCTCTTACTGGAAAGGGCCTACTCTAGTCTGGTTATTTCTTGGAGACCAATGTTACTTGGATAGAGTTCAACAAGAAACTAAAACTTACATCCATTGTTTTCATGCGCATCTAAAACAAGTTGTGCCTTTGATCCGATTCATAATTTGGTATCTCTTACATGAATATGGATTTTTATTATGCATGAAACGTCTGTTGGAAGATGTGAAAGGGAGAAACCATGTTTCTTTTCTTTAAGATTTGAGGCATCAAGGAGCAGCCATACTAAGTGCCAAGATATGTTAAAATCATGCTAAAACAAAAAGAAATCGAAGAAGTGTGCTTGGAATTTTTGAAATAATGTTTGCATAACATTCGAAGCATGGCTTCTTGTTGAAGGTGCTTTGGATGAGAAGTTTAGAGTGGGTAGGTTGCTTGAAGTTCGTGGCAATGGACTTGGACCTGACCCGGGACCCACCGAGTATACCCGACATGAGTCCGGGTATTGATCCAACATTTCGATCCGGCTAGTCAGGTCCAGGTCCAAACCTGGACCCGAACACTATTTGGGTCCGAGTCCAGGTCCGGTTGGACCGACTTGTACTCGTAAACTTTTGAAGATAAAATACTTCAAGCCCTATTTGTTTGGGTGTATTAAGGATCATATACAATAAGAACTCAGTCATCTTTAGCTATTAAACGACAAATCAGATGGCTTGAAATCTAATGGCGGTTGATTGTGATCTTGTTGCCAATAATATGGGCATATGATGGTAAAAAAAGGGCTAAAAGAAAAAAGAACATAGTGAAGGTGGCAATGGACCCACCCAGACCCAGAACCTGACGGGTATAGGTATGGGTGTGACTTTGGGACCTAACGGGTCGGATCCGGGTCTAAAAGCTTGACCCGAATCTATTCGGGTTTGGGTTTGGGTCCAGTCGGACCCAACCCTTTGCCATCCCTACTTGAAGGGAGGTACATAAAGCTTTATTTAGTTTAATGAGGGCAATGGGTAGTTGCTGAGACATCAAATATTAACAGTGTAATGATGTAACAGGTCGCTCGAGCTTAATTGATATTTGCATATTCAATCTCATTTCATGAGAAATTAATGCGCTGTAAAAATTTGTTGTATAATATTCACTGAGATTTATAAATATGGTAAATGGAAAAATTGTACTTTTGTTCATTACGTTAAACATTAAAAAGCCTATTTCTTTAAAATGAAAAAAATATTGTTGTAATGTGGGATATGACTCTCTTGCAGGATACATTTTTATGCTTCTTGAAAATTGTTTATACTACAATGGCTGGTTGGTGCAGGATCTAAATCTCCCTCTTAGGGTTCTCTCCTATGATGCAAGAAATAGAGAAAATTGGCAAAAAACAATTCAATAATCATCAAAACATGCCAGATTTGAGTGAATCTGGCTGTCCTTGCACAAAAAAGTGACCCCAAAATATAAATTGGGGTCGTTGTTAGTATTCATAGCCTATTTTTACTTCTCACGCCCAAAAAGTGTTAGAAACCCTAACATCCTAGACCATTATATTACATTTTAATAAAAAAAAGACCAAAACTATACCCACTTAAGTTAAAATATTATAAAAATACCCTATAAGTCTCTACACTTAAATAGATTTCGTAATGACACTTTTACCCTGAATAAAACAGGTAACTCCATAAGTATTCTAACCACTTTTCTAAACATCTCCTAAAATACTAAAAAAAAAAAAAAAAAATTCCTAGAATCCCTAAAAGAACTGAAATCCCTGTAAACTAACCATTCTATATGCGGATGATACTTTGAGCTTCTAGTTGCCACCCACGGCAGGTAGACAATCTTTGGCTCTTAATTTTATGTCTGCATTAGCCTCCTCCAGTTTGAGAGTAAATATGGGGCAAATAGAGTGGGTGTGGCGCAGACATCCTACCAACCAAATACTTAGGTTTACCCTTACATTGGCAAGCCAAAGAAATCCATTTGGAATGGTATTACTAAAAAATTGGGAGAAAGTTGGCTGCCTAGAAATGTCAATCTCTCTCCTTAGCCATATTACTTTGATCTAGTCCACACTTGTTAATATCTAGTTTTCAAATGCCCTTTTTTTGCGTGCCAATGAGTGTCTCACAAACTTTAAAGTTTCATGAGGAATTTTCCATTGAATGGTTGTGCTGGCCACCATGATTACCATTTGGTTAAATGGGGACAATATTTGCTAGCCGGCCGGAGGGCTTATTAGACTTGGAAAATACTAACATGGCCCTCCTCGGTAAGTGGCAGTGGTGTTTTGCCACTAACCAGGATCTTCTTTGGAGATCAATGGTGTTCCATAAAATACAAGTCTAATGGGTCATGGAGGCTTCCTAAAGGACCGAAAACATCGAGGGCTTCTGGGGCTTGGTGTGCCATTAGACACTTCTATAACATCTTTTTGGCATTGTTACATAGGCACTGACGCTAGTCGAGGGCCTACGGCAGCATCAAGGTTTTTTCGTTTTTTGGTGGTAGTGAGAAAAAATATGGGGACTTACGATCTCACTGAGGGTATGGCCCTAGGATTCGTGTAGCCGACCCCAAATAGCTGGGAAAGAGGCTCTAACGATGATGATTTTTGTTTTTTGTTTTTTTTTCTTTTTGCGTGGGGGGTGGGTGTTTTTTATTTTTTGGGGTGGGGAGAAGATAGATCATTTGCCCCCTTTTACAAGCTTTCTTCAACTGAAATTCTCTCAATGAACTTTGAGAAGAAAAAACTTGTATTTCCCCTTCGTCATCGTTGACCTCATTATCACCAAGAACATTCACTTCTACCCTCAACTCTGCCATACCTGTATCTTTTGCCAATTTCTTCCTTTTTTCAGCACCCACATAGTCAAGAATCTCCTTCCTAAGTTCGCCTGGAACATCCTTACATGGGGCAACATTCTCCTTAATATTGGTTAGGTGTTCCTTAAATTTGTTAATCCTCGCATTTGTATATTTACCACAAAAATTGCACCGGATTTTGTTCTATTCTTTGTTCTTTACAAAACCTATATTTTCATCCTTGCACTCCGCTGCTATTAGAACATGTGGAAGAGATTTGGCAAAAAGGAAGAAATCTCAAATTGAAGATTAAAAACTAACACTTGTTGCCTAGTCTTCCAAGACTGTCTCATCTTCCAAAGTTTTGGAAGTTTGAACGTCTAAATCACCCTAAAATTCCCCTAATAATTTATCATTGTGATTCACAATGTGTTCAGCAAAAAAAGTGAAGTTTGGGATGATTTATCAAATTTGTCGAAATTTACAATCTTAAATGTTTTTTAGAAAATATCGTTTTCTTGAACTTTTTTTGTGGTTTGAAAGGTTCAAACCCAAAAAAGCCTCCCACCTGTGGACACACACCCTTTTCTCCCCCTTAAAGGTGGAAAAAGCCAAAAATATCTCTTGCCAAGGGCATTTTACACCGTCGCGCTAGGGTGTGACGTGGGCACCCACCCAGTCCAGGCGCTGGGCATCCGCCAATGCGGTGCCTAGCCCCCCTAGGCAGGGAAGCACGCAGGGACAGGTCACTCATAATGGCTTACCAATGCCTAGGCATCTTGGCCCAATACAAGGTGTGGTGCGGCCACCTAGGCGGGAAGGTGGACCTTTATTGTTTAGCAGTTCTTTTTTTATTTACTATTAATTTTGAAAGTAGGAAACCATCATGACGAGTCAAGTACTGTCCTAGACCATCTTCTTGTTTACAATCTTCTCTAGGGATGACAAAAGCATCCTAATCATGTGAATATTGCAGTCAGTAAGCACCTAACAGCCTTTTTAGGGCTTGTGTTTGTATATTGTTCTTCTGATATAACTAACCCATATAACAATTGCCAAACTCTTAGTTATCTTTGCTCATGACAAGAGTCAAGTACTGTCCTAGACAATCGTCTCGTTTACAATCTTCTCTAGGGATGACAAAAGCATCCTAATCATGTGAATATTGCAGTCAGTAAGCACCTAACAGCCTTTTTAGGGCTTGTGTTTGTATATTGTTCTTCTGATATAACTAACCTATATAACAATTGCCAAACTCTTAGTTCTCATAGAATCTGGATTATTGTAATTAATAGTAGAATATTTTAGTCACTCGAAAGTTTTTCTCTTTCCTATGGTATCTTGGAACAACTCTTTTTGTTACATTTGGCTTCATAATTGAGTGTTCCATTGCAGCGGGTCTCCATTAATCTCCTCCTGTAAAAGACCAGTATGGTTTGTGTTTTTTGTTCCTAATGCATTTCTTTTTGTTATACCTGCCACATTGCTAAGTTTTTAGCCATGCAAATGAGAAATTTGCTAGCTTGTGGGGTCAGAGATCAAATTGTGTGTCTTCTTCAGGTCTTTTACCATGAATTCAACAAAGAAGAGCAGTTGCAGGCCGTGGAAGAAGAGAAGAGAATACTTGAGGAGAGGAGGAAGTTAAAGGAAGCTGGTGTGATAGGAAGCACCATGGATGCCCTAGATGGAGCTGCTTCTTTGGTGGGTTCAGGGGTCGGGCTCGTGGGGACTGGCATTGGTGCTGGCGTTGGGTTGGTGGGGACCGGCATTGGGGCAGGTGTTGGATTTGTGGGCAGCGGCCTTGGAGCAGTTAGTAGTGGGATTGGTAAGGCAGGGCGCTTTGTGGGGAGGAGTGTGACCAACCAGTTTAGCAGCGGCTCCTCCAAGAAAGGAAGCAAGAGCCCTGCGCAAGAGAATGGCGTTGGCAACTGAATCTGTTTCCTACGCTACTTCTATGTAAAATTTGTTGAATCATCATTCCCTTAACATACTACTTGTCTTATAATACTGAAAATGATAAAACCACGCCTGTATTTTGTACTTATCTTGTGCAATGAATAGGCTTGATTTGGTTGCTCAAATTATGTGTTTTGATTCTCTTGTAATTCAATATCTATTCCATTTGTCGATATCCAGGTTGTGGAACCGCTTAGATGAATAAATTCTTGCCCCCTGAAACTTGGTGTGAACTAACAAAGAGTCACGTTTGCTTTAAATAAAAGAAGGGACAAATATTTGGAACTTATGACCACTATGGGGATTCTATATAGTATATTGCATCTATTATATATATATTGCAATGATGTGTGATGCTTATAGGATGGGTCAATCCTAAGTGTTTTACCCTGCGATGAGCGTTACAAGGTATCATGTACAGCTTCTAAAGCCATGATGGGTATCACTTTTGGAAAAGAGCAGGCAGTATGGTAGGGACTAGGAAAGCATTGGAAGTATTCTGTTTTTTCCGAAAGATCACAAATTCACTGTTTACTTCATAAAAAAGGTCATGAATGTCGATAGAAAATTCTGAAAGAGTTAAAGAGTGAAATTGCCACAAATTCACTGTTTACTACATAAAAAAGGTCATGAATGTCGACAGTAAATTTCGAAAGAGTTTGAGTGAAATTTCTCTGCCATCGTTCATCACTGTAGGTATGTGGGTGGTGCTTCCAGAGTACATTGAGAGAAGAAATAGACGCCAGTCTGTGTACCTTCCAACGTAGGGTGACCTCCACCAAAACTGCTCCATCTTCACCATCCATTATTTGAATAGATGATTGATCCCTGCCTTTGTGTACTTGCGGGTGTACACATTTATGTAAAACGCGCCTTAAATGTATCTTTATGGCATGCATAAAATTTCAAAAGCCAGCCTTAGTCAATCTAATGGGCAGTGAATTTGAAGCAAAATGAAGCACAACAATAATTTCAAAGAAGAATCTGGTCTTGGAAACATAGCAAAGCATTTACTAAGTTCAATATGGAGATTGACTAGGGCTGCTGGCGGGAAGAGATCAAATCATTTTGCTATTCACCTTTTGATCGATTCCGAAAAAGGAAAATATGAATTTTAGTTTTTAAAACTGTATTAGAATCAAATGGACGCCATCCATTTTCAGAAGAGGAAATGATCTGGTTCATTTTTCGAGCTCCAAAACATTTTACTTTTTAATTCTTCTTAGAGATGTCTAAAGATGGTCAGAGAACAACCACAGTTAGCAAGTCTCATATAAAACCCGAGTTTTTCAAAAAATGGAAATATGTTTAAAACTCCGAGTTTTTTTAAAGATCTTAAAAAATTCGTGTTTTTTTAATGGAACTGATATAAGTCTGTATTTTATCTCTTTTCAAAAAGAACTTCTTCTCTATAACTTTATTTCTTCATTAGCTTAATATTTTTGAATTTTGGTTTAAAGATAAATACATTAACAGTGTGAGTAAATTAATACTTTTGATTTAACAAAAAATTCCATCAAAAATTTCACTGATGAGTTCCTTAAAAAAAATTGTATGAAAAAGTACAAGCAATATATTTCTAAAAAACATAGCAATTAAAACAATCCTATACCTTAGAAGAAGAGTAATCTAATGAAAATTCTATTTTTTTTCTTTTAAACCCATAGTGTCCTTATAAAGAGTAAGAGAGACATTCAATAATATTAAGATTTAGGTAGCTAAGAATTCAATGTAAGATTCAAATTTTCTTAAGCATTTTATTGTTGTTGTTTTATGCATAGCGAAATTTGACTAATTTCATACTTTATTTTTATTTTTATTTTTGTATTTTATTAGTGTATACAACATAACATTTTGGATGAATCACTATTTTACATATTTGGATCTTTGTGTTTTCTTTTAATTAACTGCAATTATATAGTGAGGGTGTTTTTGTTTTTTTTATTTGAAAAATAATCACATATCTTGGTTCACCGTTCTTATTATTTGCGAATTAGTTTTTGTATTTAGTATTATTGTTATTTCATTTTGTTCTCCTAATAAATTTAGGATATCTTTTGTGACGTGACAACAGAGTAAACATTGTTGCTGAATTAATTGAAAGTTTCAATAAAAAAGTGTTAAGCATTATTCTAATGACACTAGTATGGCTATAACTTATTGTTTAATGACTTTAGTTTATCTAAGCAATAGCTGCAAATCATAATCCTATAATGTGTAATCTTTTACATATCCGATTTTTTCACTAGCGTTGTTTTTAACCAAATCCGAAATACTCACAATTCTGTAGCTTATCTTATTTTTTGGCGATCCACATTTTTAACCGGACTTTTTCCTCCGACTTTTTGAAATAAAACGGATTTGTTACCGATATTTTAGTCTGTTGATATTTTATTATTGCCCGTAACTAGATTACCCTAGTATGATTTTGATCACTATTCCAGCTGAACCGTCGATCTTTTTTTTTCTTCGTCTTTTCAGTAAATCAGTGTTGACCAGTCAATCTTTTCCAACAAAGTTTTGAGTTAAAAAAATAAAATAAAGAAAAATAAAAACATTGCAGAAAGAATTAAAGAAAAAGAAAAACGTTGTCTAACTGGGTGCCATTTCAACTCTGCGCATTAAACAAACACCGCCACCACCACCATTAATACCAGCCGCAGTGACGTGGGCACAAAAAGAAAAAGAAAAGGAAAGAGAAGAATCGCTTATTTTTAGAGTAGTTTTATGTATATGTCCCCTATAATTTTCGTTAGTGTAAATCCCTCTGCTGTTCAAAATTTATGTTTAGGAAAAGGTTTTATAGAACCGAGCCTCTAAACAATCAAATTTGGGCCTACCTCAAAAATTGCACCAGAATAGGTTGTTTTGATGTCGAAATATCTTCAAATTGATGATTTCGACATCAAGATGCATGGACATGAGAAAAACATTGATCTCAAGTTTTGGAAATAATGTATTTTGTAATGCATTTTTGGACTATCAATTTTCAAGATTTTCAAGTTTTCATAGATATGTTGATCTACACTATTTTTTAATCTTTAAACTTTATAAATAAATATGAAAATATATTTTAAGGTTGTCACAAAGATTTCTAATATTAAAACCACATTTCTCAACACTATTTGAAGGTAGGTTCTGTTTTAGAGCCTAGGCTCTATACAAACCACACCCTTTATGTTTATACTGCCCTTTTTTAGGATTTTCCAAGTCCAAAAAAATATTTGAAATTTTTTGAAAATTTATTTGCACTTTTCTATAGAGGGAAGGTCCTGAGCATTTTCGGAATTTCAAAAGCCAAATTTTTTTAAACTTTTCGGGTTTTGAAAAATCCAAAAATGCTCCGGGAAAAAAAGATTTGCTGAATATTTTTGGATTTTCGAAATTCAAAAATTAAAAAAAAGAAAAACGAATTTTAAAAATCCAAAAAATGGTTGAAGAAAAAATGCGAACAAGTCACTAACTTCAAAAAATCAATTTCGGATCTTGCATATCCAAATTATAGGTTCTTTGATCATTTTAAAAAATTGTAAAAAAAAAAAAAAGAAAGAAAGAAAGAAGATATGAATGTAATAAATTAAGAGAAAGAGATGCGTAATTTTCTCTATAGCAAGAATTGAATACCATGTGCTACGTCACTGAACTAGAGAACAAAGTCATGGACACGAAAGACATAAAAGCTACAAATTGCCGAGGGTATATGCGGGCACGGCCAGAGCTGGACCTAGGCTGACCCGAGCCCAGTCCATTGCGTTAACATGACTTTAAATTCAGGCCCGGCCCAACAGTCCCTATATAGAGGCCCAACCCAAACCCTGGAACAGTCACATAACCAAGGGCCATGGGCCTTTGGACCCATCCCGTTTAGCTAACAGGGCCTTGGTGCCCTATGAAGCGGCCAAAGGCCCAAAAGCCATCCCATTTAGCCTTTGGACTGGTCCAGCCCGTCTACACCCCTAGGGACCACCATATTTACGTGATAATTGATTGTATTAGTGCTGAATGGAAAGTAAATCAATTTCCGATCCATGCCATAATGGGTCGTTTGGGACCTTGTATATAAAAATCCTAAGTTTTTCTCAATATTTGGTTTTATTGATTCTAGTTTATAAAAAAGCTGGTTTTGAGCACAATATTGTTGGTTTTGTTTATTCTAGTATATATAAAAGCTGGTTTTTAGTACAATGATGTTTGGCTGGCTGTTGAAAGAACCCAAAATATATAGAAGCTGGTATTTTACCAGGTTTTGGTTGTTTGCTGTTAATGCAGTTTAGCCATTGATTCTATAATTTGATGATTCTGTATTAATGCATGACCAATAAAAATTAGTTTTTCAGAATAAATTATCTGTAATGTAAGAAATATATTAGACGGTTTGGATCATATTTTTCGATATTTTTATATGTCAAATTATGATTCTTTTTCTCAATACCTCTTCATCCAAAATAGGTTGTATCAATCCATTACATGCTTCATATTTTTGTTGAGAATATGCTGACCCCAAAAAGAAAATCCTCAGGGCCAAGATAAAACATACTAGTCATGGTTTTCACCCTTCCCTTGCAATAGGCTAACTTCTCAGCTAACACAAAATTACATCTCCCTGATAAGCAAGGGGTCTCAACATTGCATAGTGGTTATGAATCCATTTTTATTGTCCACCCAAATCAAACAACACGCTGTCAAATTAATTCTTATAAAAAAGTGTCATTGGGCAATAATCCAGGCTACCATTCTATCAAAATTAATTCTCATTATGCAACAATTGTTAGGTTATGGAAATAGCAATAATCCAGGCTGCCATTGGGCATCCAGAACAGGAAAGAAACGTCTAATGAAATCCACCACTAAATTACCTTTAATAGGATGGCCTAAAACAAAAGATAATGCCTAAATGGAAATATTTGCCCTCAAGTAAAGTAAAACGTACATAAGTCAAGGGAGCACAGAATGAAGAGCGCCAAGCTCAATCAGCAATTTTAGAGTCTTGATAGTGTATTACTCATCCAAACTGTACTTGACAATCAAAACAGGAGTACTTGTGGGTCTTGAAGAAAATCAAAGCATCACAGGCAAAAAGTCTTAATGGAAACAGGCAAGTGAAGAGTAACCATTAAATTTAACTACCAATCTTCTAGTAGCAAACTATGCAATGAGCATCAGCAACAAAGCACGCCAAATGAAAAAAACAAGCACTGTTTCCTTGGTTTCTTCTCGACCTGTTAATAGGTTCTCTCTCACAATAAAAATTCTTTGATAATTCAAACAAACATTATGTAAGAGATGCTAGAGTGAAAAATGAAAGGAACAATTATCTAACATTTCTGATGTAAGACAATTCATCATAAAATCTGATCACCAGAGCATCATCAAAAAATGAAAGGAACAATTTGGTTAAAAAGTGAAAACAAAAACCCATTCAAGTAAAACACAAACAAAACAGTAATCAATGTTAGAGTGAAAAATCTAAAGCTAATAAAACATAAAAAAAATGGCAGAGAGAGAGTGAAACGCGATCAAAGGATATAGAAACATGGCTTTATTGGGGCATTATAAAGAACCATGGCTAAAATGGAACCCCAACAGAGATTAACAATGAAACAATGAAAAAGAGAAAGACCCATACAAGAATCTAATGAAACCCTATAAGGATCAATAAAATGGAACCCTCGATTATCAGAGAATATGGAATCAAACCAAAATGATCCATAATCAAACCTAGATTATCAAAAAGCCCTAACCCATAAGACCACATATCTGCAGAAAATTGGGCAAACAGAGCCCAAAATGTTGTATGAGATAAGGCGGATCGTTTGAGGTGGTTTTGTAGCTTCAATCACTTGCATAGATAGATAGGGTGACCTTCGGTCGGCTGCACCAATGACGGATGAAAGGAGGGAACAGAGAGAGAGATGAGGTTATTAAAATAAAATGAGAAATGAGCCAATGGGTAGGACGTTTTCCAAGTAAAGCTGAGTTTTGCCAAAATAATCGTATGCCAATTCTAGGTTTTTTTTTGGAATGCGCATATTCTAATTTTGAGGGGTTTTATGGATTCACAAAACCTGGATAATGAGATGGCTTTTGTTCCCAACGGCCTTTGGCCCTCAAACTAGGTTATAAAAAACTTGATTTTCTGTGTCCAAGGTTCCCAAACTTTGAGAGTTTATTCTCGTTTATGAAAATAGGTATATCTATATTACATCCCTCAATTCTTTATCGTTACTAAGGCCCAAACCCTGTTAAAAATCTTGAATATACAATTGCCAACCCCTCTCAAAATTGTTATCATTGCATTCTGGTGGTATTTCGATGGAATCACAAGACATGATATAACACAAAAGGCATGAGTTCCTTCTTTCAATCATCTTTGACCAGAAAAACATTCACCCAATAATGGATACAGATCAACCAAACCCTGGTGGAACATCAGGGTCCATGTCATGGTCACCATCTATTTGTTGCTGATTCTGGTCGGCAAATCGAAGAAACCCAGGGCTTTCACTCTGCTCACTGTCAATCAATTGCATTTCATTGGGCCGTCCCCGTGGCTCTGACTCTGACTCTGGCTCTGGCTCTTGAGAGTTGCCACCAAGTTTATTACAAAGATCATCAGGCTGAGAAAACCCAAGGGTTTCCTTGGGTTCATTATAATTACATGGCACAGTGACACTTTCACTTGCAGAGGTGATTATGGCAGGAGAGATTTTGGGCTCCTGCTTATTAGAAGGCACAGACATATCTTTTGGAAGCTTTGTTTTCTGCTCCACCAACTTACCGAACACTCCTTCAACTGTTTCTGATATCTCCTTTCCCATGCCATCAGGGAACCTCATCACCTCCCACACAGCATGTGATATCTGATCCATTGCTTGATTCCTGCCAAGATAAATATGACAAGTAAAATTATTTGAAGTTGATGCTTTTATCAGTTAAAGTCGGTTGCAGTAAAATTATTAGAAGTTCTATGCTTTTATCAGTTAAAGAGAAAGTCACAATGGCAGTAAATAAGGCAGCTGAACTGCGTCAGAAAACTAGAAAAACTAAAAACTTACTTTATCTCTTGATATATGGTATCAAAGAGTTGTCTTGGTTTCATATTTTCAGATCCTTCACTGTTCAGTACAGAAGACTCCCTCACGGCCGATGCAATGTTATTTTTCAAGCTTTCCTGCATATCCCTCAAAGTGAACCCAAAATGAGCCAGACACAGTAAAACAAAGAACTATTAAACACAAATAAATGGGATGAACAGCCAGCTCTGTTACATTTCACAATGTTGTTTAGTTGACCAAACAATTCATGGAAGTGAACAGTGCACTACGGTCAACCTGATCAAATTCAGGCTCTAAATATCCAAATTAACAAAAAGCCACTGCCCATCTCAGAAGGTTTCCCAAAAAGGTACATGCTACTAGGAAATGTAAAATATCATGGGTGACAATATTTCACCGATACAACATGAACTAGAAACATAACTAATTGGAAGATGAGAAGCAATTAAGGGAAACAAAGAACTCTGATTCTATGAGGCAAAAGGCCTAGCCATGACCAGCTGAGTTAGCATAAAAAAGGCGCCATTCATACTTTAATATAAATAGTAAGATGACAACGTGGTCATGAGACTCACACAAGTATCATTGTCCACTTAATTGGTGGGATGGTGATGGAGGGAATGCAAGAGGTACACTTAATTGGTGGGATGGTGATGGGGGAATCTGCTCTCCCTCCATCACCATGAAACCCGATACTGGATGCATGATTTTAGCAGATCACAAGTACACCTTTGGTACAACAGAAGGATCCAATGCACCTAAACTTGGCCATTTTAAGCATTTAAGTCCATTTTAGAGCTTCTTACAGCTAGCATCGGACATTCTTCACATCCTTCTAGTATCAAGAACCTACAATCTCATTGGGTAAATGGAGACGAAAATCAGCATCATCATCAGCATCTTTTCCCAACTATTTGGGGTCGGCTATACAAATCCTGATCCACCATTCTATTCTATCAAGTGTCATACCCTCAGTGCGGCCATAAATCCCCATATCTTTCCTCACTACTTCCAACCATGTCCTTCTAAGAATACTTCTTACCCTTTTTGAGTCTTTGACTTGAACGCACCTCCTAACAGGTGCTATACTAGGTCTCTGTTGCACATGGGCAGCCACTTATGTCTACTTTCTCTCATCTTACCGCTTATTAGAGTTACAACTAAGTTGTCCCGAATGTATTCATTTTGAATTCCATCCCTTCTTGTCTTGCCACTCATCTATCTTAACATCCCCAACTTAGCTACACTCATCATATGGGTATGTTGTTTCTTGATCACCTGATATTCTGCCTCATAAAGCAAACCCGGTCTTATTATTGTCCTATATAACTTGCCCTTCAGCTTTACTGATATGCGGCAATAACATAAAATTCCAATCTCACATCTCCACTATGCCCACCCGCTTTAATTCTATGTGCAACATCTTCCTCAATTGCTCCATTTTCCTAGATTATCGACCCAAGATATCAAAAAACCGCTTTTTTTGGTATTTCTTGGCCGTCAATCTTTACTTCCTCATCTCTACTCCTATTAATACTAAACTTGCATTTTATATACTCTGTCTTAGTCCGACTAATTTTAAAACCTTTAGATTAAAGAACATTTCTCCGAAGTTCTAACTTTGTATTGACACCGCTTCATGTCTCATCAATCAAAACTAAGTCGTCCGCAAATAACATACACCATGGTACCTCATCTTGTAAGTGCCTAATTAAGTCATCCATAACTAAGACAAAGAGGTACCCCTAATGTACACTTATTATCACTAAAAACCTATTCATCTATCCACTAATTGTTCGCATACTAGTTGTCACTACCTTGTATGTATCTTTTAACAAGTTGATGTAGTATCTAGAGGCTCCTTTCTTGTTCAACAACCACCAAATTAAATCTTGAGGTACTCTATCATAAACTTTCTCTAGATTAATAAAGACCATATAGAGGTCTTTTCCTTTAGCCCTAAACATTTCAAGCAGTTGCCTAAGTAGAAAAATAGCCTCAATTGTTGACCTCCCTAGCATAAAACCGAATTGGTTTTCTGATACACTCGTTTCATGCCTTAGTCATTGCTCAATCACTCTCTACCACAGCTTCATAGTGTAGCTCATAAATTTGATCCCTAAATACTTCGTACAATTTTGTATGTCTCATTTGTTCTTGTAAATAGGTACTAACCATAATACTTTTCCTCCACTCATTTGGCATTTTCTTTGTTCTCAACACTTTGTTGAACAACTTGGTTAGCCAGTCAATTTAAATCTCCCCCATGCAGTTCCAAACCTCTACCGAGATATCATCTGGTCCTAAAGTCTTTTCTATCTTCATCCTCTTCAAAACTTCTTTCACTTCCGATATCCTAATCCTATGAATATATCTATGATCTCCGGCCTCATTTATGCCAACGGTTCTTTCTATTGTTGTGTTCCTATTGTGTTCGTCATTTAATAAATATTAAAAATAAACTCTCCACCTTTTGTTGACCGCTTCATCTTTCACTGATACCCATTGATCCTCATGCTCAATGCATTTAATATGGTCTAGATCCCTGCACTTTTCTCTCTCATTTTTGCTAATTCGAAGATATTTTTTTCACCTTTTCATGTTCCCAGTTTACTATATAGATTATCACATGCCTTAAGTTTCGACTTACTTATTATTTGTTTAGCGTTCTTAGAATTTTTATATTCTTTTAAGTTTTAATTATTTCTATTACATTGTTGTTTTATAACATGATCGTTTTTCGATTATGGCCTTCTGAACCTCGTTACTCCACCACCAAGTTTCTTTATCAAAATTTCTTCTCCTAAAAATTATTTTGCCACTTTCTTAATACAATCAGTCATTTCAATATACATATACACGTCATATGCGAAAAGAAGGATTAGAAGCTACAGTTTGATACAAACTCTATATTCAAACAGACCTATCATCTGAAGGTGAAACACCTATTGTTAAGGATAACAAGAGAGCTCCAGGGCTCAAACCTCCTCTGTGCAAACCAAAAGGAAAAACAAAACCAGCCAACCCCCCCACCCACATCCCCACCCCCACCCCCACCCCCACCCACACCCCACCACAGCATTAAACAAAAATCAATGAAATAAACGATATCCAGAAATTTTAAAAGAAGGAATTGAGAGAGCCCAACCAAAACTGCAATTTTAATCCAAACTTTGAAAGGAGCCTTTGTTTCATATGAAAATTTTAGTTGTCTCTAAGCCACAACATATCAGCAGTCAAGAACAGGGTAAGATCTGTTTGTTTCTTTTTCCCTTTTTCCCCAACATGGATAAGGACAAACAGTTATAAGAAGAAAACTTGCACAACATAGTGGTGTGAGAATAGAACTTTTTATTCTGGAAATAACAAATAAATACAAGGCAAATGCATGGAACGCATGTAATGTCGAGAATAGGGATAACTTGGGCAAAACTGCAAAGCATATGCTATGTGCAAGAATAACGAAAAGTAACATGGAAGAAGTGGAAACTGCATACTGGAACCATGGGAAAAAAAAGAGATTTGTACAAATAGAAAAACAGGAATGCACATATATGGCAACTTGCTTCCCAGGAATTAATCCCTATCTCTTAGAAAGTTGTATATGCTGTAAACAAACATTGAGATCCGAGATGATTTCATTTCTTTCATTGACCAATGACTGCTAGAGCAATCAGTATTACAAATTATTAGTGCAATTGGGAATTGGGATTCCTTAGCTACGCCATTTTACTAACATCTCATGCTTCAGATAGAGAGAGTAGCACATGACTAGAAACAAGATTGAAGTAATAGGTACAGGGACACCATCAGGGATAGAGAAAAGATGTGTTAATTCACGATTCAGAGTTCTCTAAGAAAAAATTATTACTTTTTAAGGGAAAAAATTGCTCTATGAATAGAAACAATTATTGGCCAAAGAAATGGATACGCACAAAGGAGACACCCAAAGCCAACACCCTCAAAACTAATTTTTAGGGCATTCATGGTTCAACAAGAAAAGCTAACTACACTTGCTATAATGACCAAAAGATAGAATATCACAACTGCAATTATCAAAAATAATATTCGTAACACCAAGGAGAAAGTAAAGATCCTAAATTTACTAGAAACAACAAACTTAACAACAAAACCAGAAAAAGATGCAACAATTAAAGACCTTTTCCTCCCTTTCATAGTTAGTAAAAATAAATAACTTTCATTCTAGTCCATCCAAAACTGATACATCAAGAAGTGATGCTGAAAATAAATGAGACAAGTGAAATTAAGGGACAAAAATTCCCAAAATATTAAATATGCTTTCACATCCAACATGAGGATCTGATCCCCATAAGTTCAGTGGGAAATATCAAAATGAAACATAGGACATGGACAAATGTTGGGGTTATGGCCTTTAAAGACCGTGAGGGCATGTAAAAAGATATTTATAATGGATTATAGACTTCAATGGGAGTGTGTATTGTTTGACTGACCAAGAGTTAGGCAGTCTACAGCCCTGGATATATCTAAAACCCTTACCCATGGGCATGTGGCACTACCAAAAACGATTTATAGTGGCTCATACCTTGTTTAGGTCAGAGAGATACCCAAGGATGGTTAATAGACCAAGAGAGCTATGTAGTCTGCAAATATAAGCCTATGAGAGCGAGGATTAAATCCTCAACAAACTTCAGCACGGTATATACATATGACAGTCGCACTACAAGGAAGCTACCCTATCGAGAGGCACATATTCATGGGTATAGAGAGAATCCCCCTTGCACTGTAGTGACATGTGCTTGAATTGCCCTTAAGGAGGAGAACTGTAATCTATATTATGGGACTATAGTTCTATTGTTTATTGGCCGGTTTTGACGAGCCGATCATGAGCCGCTGCATGGGACTTTGGATCAAGGGTTCTAATGGGTTGGTTTGAGAAGGCAGTTGTGGATCATGGTCATCGGATCAAGTGAAGTGCCTTATAGTAACTTGTTTTTAACCCATTGATACCGATCCACTTATAGATAGTTCATTTTTAGTATTACAAATATTTTTTGTAAATTTTAGAATTTTTCAAATTTTCAAAATTTATTTTCTGCTTTTAAATCCCTTAAAAGGATATTTTCAGATACATTGT